GGGGGGGCCTTCCATGGTGCTAAGGGGGAGGAGGATGGACCAGCCCCCCAGCTGCTGCTAGCGAGAGGTACCAGCGGAGACACAGAGGGCTGTGCCAGCCTGCTTGCTCCAAGCCATCCGGGGACACTCAGTCCCCAACCAGTATTTAGTGGAGCAGGATGCACTGGCAAGACCGGGCGGTTTTTAAATCTGTCTTCCAGCTCCAGCCAAAGGGCTTGGAGTTCTCAATTCAGGGTGGGACCCTTCCCACCCTGCTGCTCCCCTCCCAGCCAGCGCCCTGCTCTCCCCGTGGCGCTGCACTGAGGCTGGCACGGGGACACGGCGTGGCTTGGCACGGCGGGCGGTGGGCGCTGAGCCCCGGCAGGACGTTCCAGCTCCCCCGGCCCTGTCCTGAGCCCCCTGCCGTGCCACGGTGAGGGGTGCAGGTTCCTGCATGGTGCCCATGCCCTGCCCCATGTGTCACGCCACTACTCTTCACCTCTAATTGTTAGCAATAACGTGCGCGCCCCTGGGCAAGCGCTGCCTGTGCCAGTGTCTCTCCCAGTGTAGAGTTCTAAAGTATCCTAGATTTTAATGAGATTTGTATTCCTGAGGCCGTGTCCTGCTGTGCACTTATTTGGGGGCCCTGGGGGTGGACTGGAGAGTGGGTGACCATGGCCCATGGGTGCAGCCCTTTCCCCTTTGCGTGCCCGGCACTGGTGCTGAGCAGCCGGGGAACCTTCCCTTGCCCCACTCAGACCTACAAATCCAGCTGGAGCTAAGCATGGGGTAGAGGGGCTTGTCCCTGCTGGGGGAGAGCACTGTCCTCAAGAGGGGTGTCCACCAAGTGTCCCACCGAGCAGCAAGGGCAGCCGCCTTTGCTGCCCCGTCTCATGGTGACACTGCCCCCCCCGTCCCCACAAACCCCACAAACTTTTGAAACTTTTATTAAATACAAAAACCCCGGTCTCTACGACCGAACGCTGCATTCAACGTACGCTCAAAAAAAGGGTCAGACATTCAAATGTACAAAAGTTGCCGGCGCCCCCCAGCCCCGGCATGCTGCCCTGCTCCCGGCCCCACTGCTCCCGGCCCCCCGTGGGGTGTGGGGGGGTGCTGGGGCTCCCAGCCCCACGGGGGGGCACAGGGCACCTGCCCTGCATGGCCCCGGCCTCTCCTGCGCACAGTCCCCCTGCCCCAGGCCTGGAGGGGGGAAGCCAGAGAAGGGGGTGATCCCAATGGCACCCAAACTGCCTGTGGGGCACCCACTGCTGGCGGGAGCTGTGGGGCAGCCGCTCCCCTCCCCACCCCACCCCAGCCTCTGCTGAGAGGGGCTGGGGGGGTTCAAATGAGCCCTATACCCCCCCAAAGCTGGGGGGAGGGCAGGCGCAGGCAGGGGCTGCACATACGCACACAGCATCTGCCTTTGGGGAGGGCGGACGGGATACAGCCACCACCCCCCAGCCCTGGGAAAACTGAGGCACAGCGAGGGGCGTTCGCTAACCAGAGGTCTCTCTGTTTGGCAGAGCAGAGACAGGGCCCGGCTCTAAGCACCAGACTAAAGCAGAGGAAGACAGTGAGCCACGTCTGCGTGCCCAGCAGCACAGGCAGCACCCAGCTGGGGCAGCACCGTCCTGCCTGCCTGGGGGGAGCCTGGCTGCTCCCAGCCCTGGCCACAGCAGCAGCGGCTCCCGCGCCGGGGGAGGGGGGAGGCCGCACCCCCGCTCTTG